CATGAAATCTGTCCGAATGAAAGATTTGACTCTTTTTATATCTATTTTGATTTTCTTTTCTCTTAGATGAATTGATTCATGCAGCAAAATTTTGGAAAAACAATATATATAAATATATTCATCATATATCTAAATTAGAATTAGATGTACATGTTTCACCAATAACACGATCAATATTAAAAATTGAATTAGCTATAGTACCAGACTTTCAATAGGATTATAAAATTCATAGAATAGCTAAAGTAAATTTATTAAAGAACAAAGGAAGATCGTACAGATTTTTGTTTTTCTTCTTTTAGCCTTTTTAGATTTTATTTGAGGACGTCGATTGAGAAATTTTACTTCATCATGAATATATTCTTTTTAAAAAGTAAGTTAACATTTTCATGTTACAAATATTAAAACAAGGTATAATAACAAATTTCATAGTTTTAAGTCGATACAGTTAAGAGAGTTCTATAATATTATAGTAAGTATTAAAATAGTGAAATCTTCTACGAAAAAGAAAAGGATTTGAAACAAAGAAAGTTATTTTCTCTGGGCGATTGAATAATCAACATGATCGATAGTCTACAATTCAGTAATTTTCAATGAGCAAAAACGATTCATTAGTTAAAAGTACTCTCTCGTTAGCAATGGATGACAGATAAAAACAAGAGCATTCTCATAATAAATTCATGAAGGAGATAGTTCTTCTACAGATAAATGTTTGTGTACAATCGTAAGGACTCAAATGAACTATGAATATCTTGAAGAGCGTTCATGTCTTAAGTGTATCGCTATGGATATACTTATGTTTTAAATGAATACTATGATATTCTCAGAAAAATAACAACACTTATTTAAAAATTTTTGTGAAAATGCAGGATATTTAGAACTCATTGCAGTCTGCATAATGGATATAGTCTTTACTCAACAGCAATTTATCATTTTAATCACTGTTATTTTCTTAATGATCAGTCATTCTTTTCTAAGTCATATTTTCAAGAAATTATTTATATATCATTAAGATATTTAATAAATCACATATAATCTTAAAAGTAGATATTGCCATCTTCTGAAGTACATAAATCGAATAGTCTATATTATTTTCATTTTTTAGAAAATATTGTGAAGATGATTATTATGTTAAATATTTTTTATTTTGTATTTAAAAAATCACCATTACAATATTTTATTTTTGTTATATCTCATAAATGGATAGCATCAGAAACTCAAGTTGCCTTTTCATTTTGTTATTTAATATTAGCAGAAAAAGATCCAACACCAATTGAACTTCTTGATCTACAACCGGTACCTGTTAATCATATTAAGAACTTCAAAATATGAAGATTTATATAATTTTAAATTTTTTATTCCAATTCAACCTCAAGGTAATTAGCAAAATAACTTTTTCTTTTTTATTTTCTAATTGTTTTTTTTTTTATTATTTTGTGTAGTTTCTAATACATTATATAATACAGATTATATCTGTATTTCTTAATGCATCAACAAGTTCCGAAAAAATGATTTGTGCTGAATTTGCCATATTAATATTATTTTCAAAATGAAAAACTGAAAGAAAATCCCGAACCAAAATGTGATTATGTTACATCAAAAGAAGAATTCTCTGAAATAGTACGACAAAATTAGGATTGTCATTTTGCAACAATTAGTCGAAAATTTGTTATGTTCACTTGTGAAACAGTTGCGGGTCTTAAATTAATTACTAAAGTAAATTGAAGAAACAAAAAAAGGATTTAAAAAAAAATTTTATCTATCTTCTTCTAGCGCCATATTATTATTTTAATACGAGAAAAATTGAATATAATATCACGCTGATGGAAACAAAGAAAAAATGTTCAAAACGCTAATTTATTTATTGTTGATGATTTACATGTTATTGGTTCAGATCATGGAGTAAATTATATAAAATGATCAAATTTTGAAAAAGAGGTTTTGATTTTCATGTCAGAAAGAACAATCGATTTTGATTATATAGTCTTCAAGAAGAAACACAAGTCTGTAAGACTGGTTAAATATTATGTCATCCTGTTTTCTTGATTTGTGAACCTTTCCTATAGTAGAGAATTTTGGCTTGCAGTCTTTAAGTAACCTTGAATACTGTTTTCTTTGAGTTACGTTTTTCAAGAAATACTGGAGTCTTTTGAACTCTGATCATTCTTTCCGACCCCCATTATGTAATTTCTACCACTGTATGCTGTTATTTGGTTCTATATTGTTTTAAATACAAATAACGTTTGCTGATACATATATATCTTTTTTCAGCTGGTCGTGTAAAATAAAGTTCACAGTTGTTGGTTTAACTATATAGCTAAGAAATTTGGGATTTCATATGTTATTTAAACAGAAAAATTCAAGAAAATAAGTTTAACTTGTTTATTACAGAACAATGTCTTCTATATCTCTTTCAATTCCATCGTCATTCGCTTTAATTTTTACAGTTTGTAAAGTTGCGTTCTCTCTTTTTCTAAGAGAGAATTAACTGATGTCTGTATGGCAGAGGGAGCTTACTTCCCTTCTATCCGCTTCAAATCCTGTTTCTGTCGCTATCATGAAGTCCAAAAACTTTGTAGCCGAACCCAATCCAACTGTGCTGTATTACTCTCAAATACATTTTCTAATTGGAATCGGACATTCGTCTCAAATGTACGAGCTACCTTTTTCCGATTATTAATAATCAATGATTAGCACAACGTACATATTTTTCATAGTGGTGTCACTAGAGTAGAGACAGGGAGCTCAGGCCTATCACCGTGAGTTTGAACCCTACAACTCAAGTATTTAAGAAATTTTTACTTATGAGAAATGGAAAGAGTTAAAAGAGAAATAATGCTGTCGATGATTCTAAGGATTAGATAAAACAAAATGTTTGATATTCCATATGACGCTAAGTATAAATGAGCTTCGAATATAATTCTACTTTGAGGTATCAACAATTAATCAAAATTTTGTAAACATCGAAAGAACAATCGAACTGTGTTGCGATACATTTCTAAGCTTTCATTGAAATCTTTTTCAACTCGCTACTTGTTTGAAACTTTGTTATTGTGATTAGATCATATGGCACAGCTCATTTTGATCGAGCACTTCAGTAATAGCAAGTATTATTGAAATAGTATTATCGTGATAGTTTCGATGGAGCATTTTTATTTCGCAGTCTATTGAATATTATTTGAATCGATCATTATTATGTTATATAATATTATTAAAGTGAGCACAGGATTTCGAGTAACTATTGCTTGCGACCAAGATCTACAAATATTCTTTGTCCAAGCAGGACTTTCAATTTTGCTTGTCAGAGATTTTTACGAGTAGTTAAATCCTCAAAATTCAATCGGATGTTTCAAATTTTAACGAGAATATAACAAAAACTTTTGCTGTATCAAAAGCTATTCTCATTGGATAGCTCAGTACGAAAATCAGGATCGATTAGTTTGAAAGTACTGACGAAGGAACACTCCTAGGTAAACGCTTTTGATTTGATATTTTGCCCATATGTAGGCCCTAGTAAGACTAGAAAAACTCCAAAAAGGTTTGGATTTCTATGTTTTACTTGTTGAGGTATGAAGTTCATATCTTCTCTAATAATGCTGTCATTTATATTGGAATACGATAAAATGTCAATTTTTCACAACGATATGAAGTACAGACTTACATTTTTTTTTGCATGAACTGCATTTCATAGTGGCCATATGTGACCAAGGGGGAAACAGCTGACTCCATGACTCCATGACTCCACTTGACTCCACCTGACTCCACCTGACTCCACTTGACTCCACTTGACTCCACTTGACTCCACCTGACTCCACCAGACTGGAGTCAGCAGTCTCTCTCTTGGAATTATTTCCCAAAAACAGAACCAAAATGTTCTGTTTTGGGGAATTACTTCCAAAAACTGAACGTTTGTATTGTTATAGGAATTAGAGGTAGCACTTTAACTTTATTTTAAAGTTAAAGCTTAAAGTTTAAACTACACTACTTTAAATTTAACTTTTAAAGTTAAAGTAATCATACTCTAAACTTTAACTTTACAAAATTTAAAGTTAAAGTAAACATTTTCCTATAAAAAACAAAATTTTTCTTAAAAATTCATAAAAATGCATAAACGCTTATGAAAACACTCGCAAATCTTCATGCACTGTAAAAAGAGTCATCCATAGGTAATCATGTCCTCTACATTGAAAGTACCCTTGAGTCATCATATACTATATATTGGGGGTACCCTTGGGTCATCATATACTATATATTGGGAGTAGCCTTGGGTCCACATATAGTATATATTAGGGGTACCCTTGGGTCATCATATACTATATATTGGGAGTACTCTTGGGTCCACATATACCCTATATTAGGAGTATCCTTGGGTCATCATATACTATATATTAGGGGTATCCTTGGGTCAGCAACTACTATGCAATAAGGGTAGCCTTGGATAATCAACTATTATGTGAAAAGGATATTCAATTGTCATTCAGTAGGATATAAGGGTACTATTCATAAGCCATTAACTGCTATATAAGGAGTGGGTCTCAATAGTTCATGAACTACTCTGTAATGGGGGCCTATCGGTCATCGGCTACTAGATAATGGGAATATTGATAACTTTCAAGTGCTATAGAAAGTGGGTATTCATTACTCTGGATGGCACTTTAACTTCATTTTAAAATTTCACTTTGAAGTTTCAAGTTTGAAGTAGTCATACTTTAAAACTTTACTTTGAATAAGTTAAAGTTAAAGTTAAAGTGCAGCTACTTTTCAACACTCGTATTCCATATTTTATAAAAATTCATACTGTCGTCAAAATGCACACTAATATGATAAATGTTACCTGGAGGTCAAGAATTTTGAATATGTTAATAGTTGTAAGGAATTCTCAATTCTCTCGTTTAGACACCACAACTTTTTGTAAAGTTTGGCATAGCATTTTTCTTGGGGAAGATATCTCAAACTGCAATCGATCCCTCAAATGTTTTTACGCTCAGTTAGCTTTATAAACAATCATAATCTTGTTGAAATATTCGCATGTATTTAGAAATAAAATTATCGATCTAGATAAACTGATTATAGGTACAAAAATCTCTCTCTAATTCAAGTTTGTTCATAATTTGAGAGAAATTTGCCACTTCTCAAAAGTAGTGTTTTTTATCTAACAGTAACAACGATCAATGATTTACAATGTTGGAACCGGTGGCTATTTGCTACTCATATGACT